AACTCTTTGGGCTTTAAAATTAGAACTGTGTTCCTTTCAAATGTCTTGTAAAATCTGAACAGCTACATTATGCAGCGTAAATAAGTAGTTGACCAAGTCTGGTTTCAAAAGTGGGGCTTTATCAAACCCCAAACTTTAAAAAAAAAAAAGGGAGTTTACAAACCAGTGGTTGGTGTCACGGTGGATACATCCACTTCTTTGATACAGTCCGCTCGAAAAGTACTGTGTCAACACATGCAAGGACATTTATGTTGTCTGTGTTGAGGAAAAAACCTGAGCCATCCTCCTTAATTCCTCTTTTCATCTCACTTAAAAAAGAAAGTGAAAAGACAAAGTGGCAAATGTGCTTTGGCTTCCCCACAGTGCGGCATCAGGTATGGTAATTACTCTGCCATTAACATTGGGAATAGTTAATGTGTATTAATGTGTTAATGGCATGTTAATTACTGTACATGCAAGAGAGAGCCTGCAGGCATTCTCTCAGATTCTTTGTGCCATGTGGATGTAGGCCAAGCTTAAAAAAGCCTTTAAGAAGTCGATGAAAGAGGATCCTTATGTTTCATTTGTCAGAACAAAAGATTTTCAATGGTAATTTGATCCCACTCCCCCGCTTATGCAGCTGAAAGTCACTGATCCAGGCGCCACGACAAAGGAGATGATATGAAGTCAAAGGAGACGTGGAACGCGGCTGTAGTGACACTGGCCTCTTTGTGAAATGGATACTCTAAGCCCTCTGTAGTCTCTAGTGTGTTGCTTTGGCAGCGGGTTTTAATAACACGGTGGATTAGAAGCCTTGGATCCTGAGTGCCAAGCCGGAGTTAAAGCTCACCTTGGACGAGCTTCAGTAACAGTCTAGATGCCACGGTCTCCCTCCTCTTCCTCCTCCTTCTCTTCCCCTCTGCACACACCGTCTACTTCACGGCTTTAAAGAGAGATGACCTTTGCAAATATTGACAGAAAATAAATTCTGTTTCGATTGGTTAGCTTTGGGAGACCTTTGCGGATCAATGCAATTAGATGAACAGAGTGTCGATACGTGGCTATGGCTGCTCACTTGAGGCCCTGGAGGTAAGAGAGGAGCCATGGGAGGTCAGGGTTACTTGTAATGAACAGGATGTTTTGGAAACAGTGGGGGAAGTAACAGAGATGTAGTGTGTACCCTCAAATACAGTTAAAACATAAAGGCCACACCACTTTACTGCAAAGTTCAATTGTTCTGATACCGATATCAGTATTAGCCAATAGAAATGCTGCTATCTGTATGAGCAGATATTGATACTGGTGTAAGTACTGACATGTATCAATACTGAAATGACTATTGACAAATTTGGATATCCATATCTGCCTCTTAAACATCCTTACATTATTTACTTGGTATCATCAAGGTAGAACACCAGTTGATGAACCATTAAAAAAATGCATTCTCCCCCTCCCTCCCAAAAATCTAATTTAATGTACTTATTATATGTGTCAATGAGGAATAACAGCATTCAATGTTAGCAAAGATTGCATTAAGCAAGTCAAATGTCAACAATCGCTGCTTTTCCACTAACATAACACACTTATATTCTTTAAAGCAATGGGAATAGCAAAGGTTTCAATCTAGGTATCAGAATCATTATTGGGAGGGTAAAATAGTAATTGCAGTAGCTGTGGTGCAGTGCACATTCTTCAGCCCAGATACATTCTCAGAGAAGCATTAAGTTGATGCAAAAAAGACTAACATTTCCTCTGCAAAAAGTGTTACTCTTCCTGTGTATTGTCTGGCATCGGTGCAGCAGAATGGGCTGCAGAAGCCCAGAGCCAGCCTTTCCCTCTTCAGCAGGCCACATTAACCCAGCAGGGCTCTGCCTTTATGGCTCTCCTGCTCACACTTCAGTGATGAGAGTAAACAAGCAGCGGGCCAAAGGTCAGCTAAGCCCACAGAATAAAAGAGGGCACAGGGGGGAAAAGAGGTGGGAGGAAAAAGGAGAGCGGCCCGAGGCAGTGCTCAGATCACTGTCAGGGCTTCAAGCAGGGAATGATGTACGAGACAACAGCCCAGGACCGGAAATGATTATAAACAGAGAACAGGGGAGAGTATATGAGCGAGAAGGGGCCACATTGTCTTTATCTGTCAAATTTGTTACTTCCGCAAATCTGATAGTGATAGTGAAACCTGTAAAAAATGAAAAGAAGAACCACCCCTGACTGATAGGGATGGATTAATCACAGCGTCTCCTTTTGTCTCAGTCACACAGGAGGAATGAGGAACAATCATATAGACAAGTGCTTTCTCCCCAGCTTCTCCACCTGTATTGTTGAGTGACAAATGAGGCTGATTAAGGACATGTTCCATTTTTATCACAATTTCACTTTTTCCTCCTTTTACATCATTACATTCGGGCAATTAGGTGAGCCAGCATCATCAGAGCCATTTGAAATAACCAGACCACATATAGATTTTTCATTCTTAAGTTCCCATTGCTTGCAGTTTGTACCAAGGTGACACAACTCCCGCACTCTCCCTTTGCACTGAGATTAATCCCACTTTGACTGTGGAGGTGGATTAGAGCTAAACTCGGGTGCCCAAACTTGTTTTAATACCCATATCATCAGACAAAAACAGGATAAGGATTTGAGCAGGCGAGCAGCATGGCAGTGCTAGAATGTGACTGTGGCTTTGCAAGTTACTATACAGATTTGTCAACCACACAGCAAATTAAAGATATTATCTTGCCTGAGCCTATTTTGTGGAAGTTGTGTGATGATGCTGAGCTTAGACAGTGAATCCACAATCTTTAGCCGCTCTAACAAAGGTGCAGGGAAAGAGACAGCCAGACGGAGACACACTGCACCTGTTATTTTTCTTCTGTTGGCTGTTTTCTTATTCTTTAATTTTTAGTATTTATCCGTTCGAGACAGACTCGTCTTCCCTCCCTACATGTGCGTTATGAATGGCCAGCTGCGGCTGCTGTGGCACAAATACACCCTGGTGGACTCCTGCAGGGCCGCCTGCTTCTCTGGGAGCACAGTAATCATTTTTATCCCGCTGATTTCCCAAATAGAAATGGACACGTATGATAAAAATGTCACGGCTACTCCACATGTCACCGGACTAACAGGATTACATGTCGCTTTCTAATGTCTCGCTCTGGTTTCTTCCTTTTGCCATGAATGGACACATTATTGCACACAGGAACTTTGTGGTAATATATGGTAAGAGACTGGTAGCTGTTTATGGCCTGTGATTATTTAGTTTGAATGAAACAGGTGATTTATGCCCATTTAGCTGAAAAGCCCTGTAAATTCCCCCAGCTGCATTTCCCCTGGATACAGAGTGAGTGGAGTGAAAGTGACAACTGGGTTTCGTGTGGAAATGTACGCTGCGTCCCAGAGTTATATTTAATATACCTGACATGAAAAACATGCCTACCTACTTACCACCACCTGCAGACCAAAGGAAGGTGCAGCCTGCTGAGCCTGCATGGAATCAGAGAGTGGGAGTAAATAGTGAATTAGGAAAAAATGGACCGAAGTGGCAGACAAACTACCTGCTCTCAGAGCACATTGAGATATGTAGCCAGGAGTCTGGGCAGCCAACATTTGAATGATTTTGTTTCCCGCTGCACAAACTGGAAAAGAAACAGTCGAGCCGGTCCAGAATGAGAGCTTTGGGTGGAGTAAGGGTGCAGATGCAGCGTGATGTGGATAAGGGTTAGTGGAGCAGTGGCATATTGTCCACATGGATGGGCTTGGCTCTCTGCAAGCCTGATGGAGCCTTGTCCAGCATCTCAATGTCTCCAACACAAATAGCCACATTCATCCACTCCTCTCACACCATTACACCTAAAAGACTCAAAGCCAGCCCATCCATAAATAGAGTCAAATTTGTTTTTCAGCCGCTCTGCAGCCGAACAAAAACACCAACAGAGACGAAAACATCAGAGGGGCGGCTACAATATGATGTGCTTCCTAATTTGTTTTTATTCAGGAGTATTTTCTCCCTCTCTGGTGTTTACTCCTGTGGATGTGTGCAGGGTCAGTCGGTCAAAGCGTGCTAAAAGGGCTCCTCTGATTGCATGCCTACTGGCTGACACAATAGAGCCACTAATCTTCTTATTTAGAATCCAGAGGCTGGCCATATCTTAATGAAGCTGTAATGAGCTGTTGAAAATCCCTGAATTGCGGGAGGGATTATTGAATTGAAACAACTCTGGTAATCATAACGTTTGAGTAGCCACTCAGTATTTACTGCCCATTGAGCCACATTTATATCCACTTATTAGAGTGGATTGCTCTGGCTTGTTTTTGTTGGAATTCTGACCCGCAGTGTGGATTTTTTTTGTTTTCCTGTGCTTGCATTGTCAGTGCATCAAGGTGTGCATGTACGCTTTCTGCTGGGTGATTACGACCTGCTGACAGACTGGTGAGACAAAAAAACAGCAGGGTCCGAGAGCAAAAACTGATGATACAGAAATGAGGACTTTATGTGAAATCGACTCTGAACTCATTTACCAATTTATTTCTCCAGTACGTTTTTATCACTTCTCAGAACATTGCAAAACCAGGATTGTAAAACTCCTAAGCTAGTAGAAACGAGGAAAGCAGCCCTCACTTTTCGGAGCTCCCAGCATGTCAAAGACAGAGACACTTACTCGAGGTATAGTTTTCTGTTTAGCATCCTCTCACAGAGTAGAAGTGCCACTTCACCATTGAGCATTTGTCAGTTTATGGATGTTGCTGTCATGTCAGCCTTCCCGTACACACAGTGTGCGGCGCGGTGTGTAAATAAAAGAGAACAGGCATAGACACAGGCGACAGAAACACAGCACATGCACAGGAGGCACCCAGTTCATACCTGCGGTGGAAAACATTGCACAATGGCAGACTATGCAGACACAATGCTTCTAATGGCACCTCAGAATTCTTTCTGGGCCTGTTTGATCACATTCCTTCTCGATGTTTTGAGGATTTTTTGGCATTTGGTGACCATCTGTCTCTGTGTGCGTTTTCTGCAGGTCTCAGCATCCGCGGAGCTCAGGAGGAGGACCCCCCAGACCCCCAGCTCATGCGCTTAGACAACATGCTACTGGCAGAGGGCGTGGCGGGACCGGAGAAAGGTGGCGGATCTGCCGCTGCAGCAGCTGCAGCCGCGGCCTCCGGAGCGGCAGGCGACAACTCCATTGAACATTCCGACTACAGAGCCAAACTCACCCAGATCAGACAGATCTACCACACAGAGCTGGAGAAATACGAGCAGGTGAGGCTGGTTAAAATAGTTGGAATTCACGTTTTTGGCTCTTCATGCACTTTTCCTTGACATCTAAGAAAAGGAGTATCACAGAAGTTTTACTCTTTTTCTTAGACATCAAAAGGTTTTAAACACAGGTTACTACCCGCTATTTTCAGTTTCATTTTATTGAGTAGTACATCATACTTTTATTTGCTCTCAAACACCATGAATGGCTCAATCAGTGCATGAGCAAGAAAATTGCAGCGAGCATGCATGCTTAGCAAGTTGGAGAAAAATTGTGGGATTATTCACTGTGTTGAAGTTGATTATAGAGATCCAGTGCAGCACCTTAGTCATCTGTGTTAAATGAAAGTATGATCAGCTTCCTCACCTAGCACTTTGAGCCTGCCATTAAACACAGAGGCATTATGGGTGAAAATAGAAGGTGTAACAGTGATGCCTCAGCAAGCCGCTGAGGTAAATTAGTCTAATTTACTCACCGCTCTGCGAGAGAGGAGGTGGGGACGCTGGGGCACACAACACTTCCCCGGGAGTAAATGCATCTTTCTTAAGGGTGTTTCCAGGTTTTAATTATCTAAATGTAAATACTTAACGAATTTTACTCAGAGTAATGAGCTAAAGTGTGCACTACGTAAATGAGTTATTCTAATTAATCATGTATGAACTACTGGTTTACTGAAAAAGCTGTTTAAATTCACTCTAGATTAGGGGACCGGCCAAATTGCAAATCTGCATTTATATTCAAAGATGACTTCACCGATTATGTCATCAAAGTAATATACAAAAAGCACACTGTGTTGAAGCTTTTAACTAAAAGAGCTTGCATTTAATTAGCTCAATTCTTTTATAAAAAATACATAACTTCAGAATGTCTTTCGAAGAGCTCTTGTAAGTTGTAAGATTCTCCTTGCTGTGATTTGGGACACTCACTTTGGCTGCTTTTGTCTCGCCGTCACTTTGCAGGCATGTAATGAATTTACTACCCATGTGATGAACCTGCTGAGGGAACAGTCTCGCACGCGGCCCATCTCCCCCAAAGAGATCGAGCGTATGGTGGGAATCATCCACCGTAAGTTCAGCTCCATCCAGATGCAGCTGAAACAGAGCACCTGTGAGGCTGTCATGATCCTGCGCTCCAGATTCCTTGATGCCAGGTCAGTGGATCGTGTGTGTATAGTGTATATGTGTGTGTGTTTGGTATCTAGAAACTTGTATTGCTTCCATATGACCCATATAAGCAAAATCCAGTGGGCGAGTTGGATTGTGTGTAGGTCTGAACTTTTTTTTCTCTCCCAGTTTTCTGGCACAAAACACAGTTTGAGTACTGCAGGGATGCTTGATTTTAACTGTCCATGCTCTGTCCCTTATCCATTTTCAAGACAATCATGCCCCCACACCTGATAGCAGTTAAGACCAAATGAAACAGGGGGGCGAGCTGGGTGTAATGGATGGAGGGGAGGTCATCAGCAGGTGTTTGGGATTAATCTAATCACTAACAGCGTGGTGCAGTGAGGAGCTCTGCACAAGTTGGGGGCCAAACAAGCCAAGTGGATGCACATTGGCTGCCCGCTGCCTGTGTGAAGCGCGGTAAACAAGGCAAAATAAGCAAATGCTCAACAACATGATAAGTAGTGCCCTTGGGAGGGAAGGGGACCCAGATCTAGTTAGAGTTTGCTTGTTTCTGCTGCAGATCCCTGGGGCTGTGGCACTTCAGGAACAATGCTCAACTGTGCATGCCATGATTTCTATAATGTACCGAGATGCACTCCGACTGGGCTTTGCGCTTCATCACAAAGCCCACCCATCCGCTGCACTAAACTCTGCACATTACACGCTTGGACTGGAGATTGCAGACCAACAGACCAAATTAAACATTGTATGTGTTTAGTGACTGTGTGTTTGTTTGTGATGGTGTGTGTGTGTGTGTGTGTGCTTGTTATTGGTCAGAGTCTGGTCGGTCTTCCGTGTGTTGACGAGGCTCTTGGAGCAGGACACGATATCCTGCTCCTGAGGGCCCTCAGAGCCCATTCCTCATTATTTTTACCATTTATGTGTGAGATTGATTGTGCAATTTGTGCGATCCAAATGGATGAGTTAATGCTGGTCCCTGCTAATAGGGCTCGCTTGGCCTTTTCTCTCGTTTTCTCTCTCAACCCAGGCGGAAAAGGAGAAACTTTAGCAAGCAGGCGACGGAAATTTTGAACGAATATTTCTACTCGCACCTCAGCAACCCATATCCGAGCGAGGAGGCCAAAGAGGAGCTGGCTAAGAAGTGCAGCATCACAGTTTCCCAGGTGGGTAGTTGCTCCTCCTAACAGTAGCTGGTGGGTAATCAGGGTGGGAAAGCCTAGAGGGATAGTTACCGTAGGTCGCACCGCCGACAAGACACAATGTCCTTAGCTAACCTTGACATTGTGGCTGCCTAATGATGCTTCAGTCAAGGCTGGTCCCAGTCAGTCAGAGCAGGGCCACAGGGAGGGGAGGCCTATATCATCTTGGCCTCAATCAAAGCACCATGCTGTCCTTCCTTACACGGGTCCCCTGCCATTTTTCCCCCTCATTCCCATCCACCATGTGTGCTCTCTGTGGTGCCTGGTCAGTCGCACAGGTCATAAGCTGGGAAGAAAAATGGCATCATCCATTACTATAAGAAAAGCAGTTAAAGTCCGCTGCTTCAAAAACACTGGATGATTTTTATTAGGATGTTTTCTGTTCAAGTGACCTTGCGGGACTCTGCTAATTCACAGTTATATTTTAGATTTAAAGACGAGACTCTCCCACTTTTTATGAATATATAGGGAATAGCTTATCTTGTTGAGTTAACCTGAAGGCAATATCTCTCACACCTAACCCCCCCTGATCCACAGCATTATTGTCCTGTGCTCTCTTTTTCTTGCTATGATTGTGACTAGATTTTTTCCTTCATACTCTATTGTTCTATGGTTGTCCTCATGAGACACGATTTGAGAGAAACATGAATCTATACAATAATCTGCAGTGTTTTTTTGTTCTGTGTGGGGAGGGGGGTGTTGAGGGGTTATATTGAGTGTAGTCATGAAGAGTCAGATACTGTAAAAGCCCATTCTTTTTTGCCTTCAGGGGGTGGGAAGCACCATCACAGTATCACAGGTATGTCATAACTTCTCCTGATCCACTGTTCTCTTTTTTTTTTTTCTTTGTACTTTTGTTTCTGTATGATGTAATAGCCTCACAGTTTTGCACTGCACAGAGCCTCCCTCCCTCACACTACTGGAACAATGCTAATGCTATCATTAATTGCAGAATTTAAAGTTTTTATTTAAAGTTTTTTTTAAAGGAGATGTGAATCTTTTTTTAGCATTTACATTCCACCTTTAAGTCACACCAGAACACAGAATATTATTGGTATGTCATATGTTTAAACTGAACTCATTTTATCACTATATTATGTGTGTACAAATGTGTAATTTGACTTTTTGGCTATTGTTTACATGATTATGTCTCTGTTTGCTGTAGAGCTGTAACTAATTGTGTGGTCTGTTCAACCTGTAAACTGCACTGTGGGTTAATCTATCCAGCCCTGTGATCACTGTGTGCTTTCTAGCAGTAAAAAAAACACACACAAAAAAAGGCCACCAAATCTCACAAATGGAGCTCCACTCTGTTTTCTGATGGCCACTGTACCATTTCCCATGAGAACAAATCAGTCTGGGCAGAAATTAGAGAGCTTTTAAAAAATTCACTTGAACTCATCTCAGGCCCCATTAGTGGCGTACTCCTCGACGAGCGGAGGCGGAGGAGGCAGACATTCTTATTGACTTATTCTTAGTGCTTTGGCTCATTTTAAGTGAGTAACATAGTCGGAGGCTTGACATGATGCCGTAAGTGTGTTATCCCTCATCAGGGCCACGGTCCCTTCACACTCACACACAGCTACTCTGAGGGTTGGGCTAAGTAATCTTTCACACACACCCCAAACTAGTTTTTTTGAGTGGACTTTGTTTATTGCACAGGCAGTTCATTAAGTATAAACCATCAAAAGTGAATGTTATGCCAATATCAGTCTGCAGCCACACTCAATACATCATCGTTGATGAAACCCACTGCATCATTTTAGTAGAAGGGATCATAAAATATACAAGTGATGCACATGTCGTCTTCCCTGAGAGAAAAAACTCCCTACATCAGGAGATTCTTATAGTTCAAATCAAGTTTTTATTTATATTTTAATTGTAAAGTAATTATGCTGAACAATTTCCTGAATGTGGGCGGAAATTGCTAGTGGCCTGATGCTGCGGTACAGTCGTGATACTTTAGTCAAGATATATAAATATGGCATTTTTAAAATGTTTGCGAGATGTTAAGTACGTTGAGGACAGTCATTGAAATATATTGATTTTCTAAAACTTTTCTCAATAGCAAATTAAGCTCCCAAAGAAAGAAATCTTAACATGTATTTATCTAATGAGTGTTTATCTCACTTCAGTTTTATTGCAGCGATTTGAGATTGTAAAGCAAAAAGACTGACAATCACTGTCATAATCACTTGACCAACTGAGATCGTGTGACATATAAATATATATTGTGCAATGTAACTGAATGCAAGATTGTATGGCCTTAGAGGAGATTTACATTATGAAAACTGTGCAAAAAAAAGTGCAATGTCTTCAAAAAATGTGGGATTTAAAAGTTAGTTACTGTTAAATGAAGTGTTAACTGATGCCTCCTTTTTACCAATTGTTTATATTCTAGTATCAAAAAGTGTTATTGATAATTTATAGGATAAATTCATGTATTGACATATTCCCAAACAAAATACTATCATACTATGCTGTATCTATATTCCCCACGCCTATGTCAGTGTGTCTGAATCATTGCTTTACATGCGCTGTGCTGCACTCTTAAATGAAGGCCTGTGATTGGATGGTTTGTGTCAGTATTTACAGAGGCCATATGTGTTATAGATTGTGTGAAACGTTCGACATTTACGGCAGGTTCCAGTGCAGCGATCCCTTACATTTTTCTCCTGAGTGACACTTTTCAATATTTCAGAACATTGTGAATTTAGAGAAGCTTAGACTTGAGTTCTCATTCATTATTAATGTGACCTGTATAATTGATGGTATCACAGCCAGTGAGACCACCTTTGTATGTGTATTTAAGGCTCAGGGAATTGTAACCTCGAATATATTGAGATCATACACAGATCATGCATTGCCTTACACTGACTAGCGAGCAGTATTGACCTGAAATAGGGTGAAATAGTTTGAATTATTAACCACAGCTCGGCGGCCTCTCTCGTGGGCAGCAGCAGTGTAGGCAGCGGATATCGTGTTCTTGCACAGAGTCTGCATGGTCATTATACAATCGCTGCCTCTGAGGCTGCTGATGTCAGGTAATTCAATCTCACAACCTGCTTCTCACCACACATAGGAGTCAATTGAATGCATGGCCTGCCACAAGATAAAAGGGAATTAGTTCTGTAGATTGGGTTGTGCTCCACACCTTCCAGAGCAGTGCATTTGTTCAATATTTAGCTGAACCCCAGAATCACTAAAGCCAGAGTTCAGTGGGCAGGAGAGAAATGTGGGTGTAGGACGGAGAAGAATGGTGTAACTTCCAGAATTTCATGCTAAAAGAGTCTGTTAAGGCTTATAACACCAAGTAGTGGTAGAATACATTTATAACACACTTCACTTCTACTAGCTTCTACAAGCACATTTTAGATCAAAATGCATCATGGCCTTAGAGCTGCGACGTAAAAAGTTAACTAATCAGCCACTGCCAACTTGAAGATAATAAGTTATGAAGTGCAAACAACAAACACCGCTTATATGAATAGGGGACAAGTATGGATCTAGTAACCTTTGGCCACACTACAGCATTTAAAGCCTACGCTCATTTGCAATGTCTGTCTGGATATCAAACTTATCAACAGATACACACATGAATGATGTCCTCTTTAATATAACTTTTGCACAAACATGTTGTTAAATTAAACAGACTGAGGAGCTTTAGAAAACAGTTTCTATGACGAGAGTTTCTGTGCAGCGCTTTGTGAGCTATCTAAAAGTGGGAGAATATTGCCTGCTCTTAGGCTCCACAATCCACTCTAAGCAGGTTAAGTAAAAAGGATGATGGCCAGAGCTTTCATTGCTTCCAATTAAACCTTGCTTGTTAGTTTAACCTCTAGGTAAACCCATCAAACAATTGATGTCAAGGAAACCCTGCCAACAGTGGGCCTCGCCTGAATGGTCATTAATTTTAATTGCCTAGATATTAAAGATTTAGAGCAGAGAGACGTGCAGGATAGAAATGATCTGATGTCCTGCAAATCCAGTCAGTTTTCACGCCGCAGAATCAGCGGGCTGCTGGGGATATTAAAATTTAAGCACATGGGTGGAAATTAAATAAAGCGTCATTAGGGGCAGCTGCTCTTTGGCTGGTCCAGCCGAGGGCTGCAGGGTCTGTATGGGGGGAGGTGGGGGGGGGGGG